ACAGAATGCAAGTTCTCATTTTTATAAATAGTTCCAAAGGCAAAGGATGGCCCCTTGGGATCAGGATACTTTTCTCACTCTCCTTTATTTATTATATACCTCAACCTGAAACTAAAAAATACAAAACAAAGAAAGGATAATCTAGTGCCTTCATATATAGCATACACTCAATAAACTTGTAGAATCAATTAATACTTATTAGGTCAAAATTAAATACAGAACATTGTAAAATTAATATCCAAGTCTAGTCCTCACAGGAAAATTTTAAAGGTATTTTTGCATCAGTGGTGCTGATTAAAAACTGGGCTCAGTTCACTCATCTTGTCACTTCACCTTCTATTAGTGAAGAAAAATTCTATTTAACACAATGAAAAATCAAAGCTGTTTTTTCATTATTCTTATATAATCACTATAAAACAGTATTACCCTGATGCATATACCAATAAATAAGTTAACAATGCTATCCTTTAATGAAGTATTTTTCAAACTACAAGTCTAAACCAATAAATTTAGTACACAATGGTCAACATTTAAAAAAATGAAATATGGTAAGATAACGGAAGATGTTATTTCATAAATTTTTTGTTTCAGTTAATCATCTGTATCTATGTTTGTGACGGATTGCAATATTAATTGATTTCTACCACAGGTTAACTATCTTGAAAGCATAAAAGTGCTGCTACAGTGGCAGCATGAGAGAGAAAGCACATTTTGGAATCAGTCAGACCTGATTTAGAATCTTAACTACTAGCTATATGACCCTTGATAAATTATCTCTTTCAGCTTCAGCTTCTTCATGAGCAAACAGAACCAATACTTATCCCTAAGGGTTTTGGTGAGAAAATTTGAGGTAATGTAAAGTGCCTCACACTATACCTGTAGTAGGCACTCTTCGCTGTTAAAATTATCAGTAATCAATTTAAACATGAAGTTTGAAGAAGTGCTATAAATGAATAGCTAAAATAATATATTCGAAAGATGCTAACAGGCTCAATTTTGTTCAAAGCCTTCAGAGGAATACATAGAACACAAAATAACAGCACACGTTTGTAGCTACATAGTGTGTCATCATGATATTTAAGAAGGCTATAAAGGAAAATCTGTAACGGTCTCATTTATGGATCTAAGAGCAAATAAGATTACAATACAAGATAGTCATTAAAACCAAGAACTGAGACTAATCATGCTTTTTCACACAATTTTATCAATAATTATAACATTAAGACTTGAAAATAATCTATTTTCCCAGTAGTTACTTCCAGAGTAAACACATGAAAATAAACATCCCAAGCAAGCAAAATCATTCCCCTAAAAGTAATTAATTCCTTTACCAAATATATGATTACTTACTATAGGCCAGGCATTACAGCACTGAAGAAGAAAATTTGAAAAAGAGGTGAAGTATGATGATTCTAAAGACTTGCCCAAATAAATTCAAACTGAAAAGAATACAGTTTATCTTGTACTTCTGGGTCATCAGCTTATCTCACAAAAATCATGATCACTCTAATTTTTTTAATTACATGCAAAATAAAAATAGAGGAAAATTTTTTGAAATATGTCTTTTTTTTTAATCCTCACCTGAGGACATTTTCCTTTTTATTTTTTTGTTCAGATAGAGTGGGAGGGAGAGAGAGGAAGAGAGAGAGAGAGAAACATCACGTGAAAGGGACACATCAGGTGGCTGCCTCCCACATGACCCCAACCAGGGCCCAGGACAACTTGCAACCGAGGTACATCCCTTGAACGAAATCAAACCCACAATTCATTGGTCCGCGGGCTGACGCTCTAGCCGCCGAGCCAAACCGGCCAGGGCTGAAATATGTCAGTCTTAAATATGCAGCTATATATCAAATTAGTTCAAAGGCAGTAAGTTACATGTTTATATTTTAAAACTTATATGCATCTCAAAAATAAGCAATTAAAAATGAAAATTTCAAGGACATAAAACCATTCATGTATGTATATATATTTGTGTGTGTGTACACACATGTACAGAATTTTTGAAAAAATATATCATAGACAACTGACTGAAAACAAAATATGAACAATGGCTATTATACAGTGGTATCATAGATATTTCTTCTTTATATTCCTTCTGTATTTTCTGAATTCTCTGTTATATACTATTATTATGATTAGAAAAAATTATTTTTAAAAACCAAAGTCTTCACTTAAACTGAATTATATGTTACAACAGGCATTACCCAAAATAGCTTCAGAACACTTTACATTTTAAACGATCCAAAATGTATTTCCTAAGTATAACAATATAACTAAAAATAAATCTCCAAATAAATAGATGGAGGGAAAAAAGCCTAATTTATTTTTTAAATGAGTCATTGTTCCTCCTCTTGGCCATTCTGCTCACTTTCTGAGTTAACATATCTAATAATGTAGCTCCAAAAAGACAGACATTATAATACTTGATTTAATATAATAGTTAATAAAGTAGTATTTTCTGGAAATTATGGAATCCTGCAGTATTAGTATTCTCCATACCTGATAGTTCAACATTATCTTTTCTTTTTTCTTTTTTTAAGTTGTTTATATCTCTAACAAGTTTACCATCAGTGGGTTTTTTTCTGATAAGATGAGGATTTTGCACCTGTGAAAACTATCTTACCAACCAATGGAGCAGCAGCAACAAAAATAATGTATCCACAGAAATGAACATTTACACGGTCAAGTAAAAAAAAAAAAAACTTGTAATACTTGACTTAATATACTAGCTGGTTTGGCTCAGCAGTACAGCGTTGGCGGGTTCGGTTCTGGCCAAAGGCATGTACCTTGGTTGTGGTTCGTTCCCAGCACTGGTTGGGTTTGTGCAGGAGGCAACCAGTCAACATGTTCCTCTCATGTCAACGTTTCTCTCTCTCCCCCTCCTACTCTATCTGAATATAAATGGAAAAATGTCCTCGGTTGAGGATTAAAAATAAAAATACTTAGATAAGCCCTGGTAGGTTTGGCTCAGCGGTTGGAGCATTGGCTCATGGACCAGAGAGTCCTGGGTTTGGTTCCCACTAAGGGGATGTACCTCGGTTGCAGTTCGTCTCCGGCCACAGTTGGGGTCGTGTAGATGGCAGCCACTTGATGTGCCTCTCTCACATCGATGTTTCTCTCTCTCTTCCTCCCTCCCACTCTATCTAAAGATAAGTGCAAAAATGTCTTCGGGTGAGGATTAAAAAAAGTAATAATAAAAAAAAAAAAGTAAAAAACAGAGCTCAGGCATCATTTCCTTATTAAAAAAAAAAACTTAGATAAAATGTTACCCTGATTTCCTCAAAATTTTCAAAGTGTAATTGTATGTAAGATAATGTCAACTCCTTTGGGAACAAGATGGAAGTGAAAGGAAAAATTTAAGGTATTTATTTCATTTCTCCTCAGTGGACAAAAAGGGAGAATTATAAAAAGTGCATGTGATGATCTACTACTAAGTAAAAAAAACACTTGAAAAATACTTATACTAATTTTCTTTGGTAATAGCTAGGGATTTTACAGATTTCCCCGCCCTCCTTCCTTTTCCTTACCTGTATTTTCTGGGCTTTCTGCAATGAATATTACTTTTGTTGCTCTTTAAGAGAGAAACATGGTAATTTAACTGAGATTTTAAAAATAAATTTTGATAGTTTTTATGTTTGATATTCTATAACTAGGAATAAATTTCCCTGGCTAGGGAGAAAAAAATGTTCCTTATGCACAGACTGCTAAAAGGATAATTTATCAGGGGCCCACAATTTCAAAATATGAACAACTCTAAAATCCATAACTTATCTGGTGGTAAACCCAGACATGACCAGTGGTAAAGCTATTTATAATATCATTTATCTTACTTAGTTTGAATATTCTTATCTTTTGCTGCCCAAATAGTAATGCCCAAGATGCTGCTGTAGTGTTTACATATGGTACACACTACTTTTCTGAAATCTGAAAAATTCTGATTTCAAATACATATATGACTCCAAAGTTTTCAGATAAGAAACTGCATATCTGTATTAGGGATCTTACGTAAACCTCTCATATGTATGACATAAATGTATTAGCCTCACTGGGAAAAACAAAAATTAGCATATTTATCAACGTTATGCTTGAATCATTAGCTATCTGATAAAATTTTAAAGTTTTTTTTTTTTTTTAATCCTCACCCGAGGATATTTTTCCATTTTTTGTACAGATAGAGTGGGAGGGAGAGAGAGGAAGGGAGAGAGAGAGAAACATCGATGTGAAGGGACACATCGAGTGGCTGCCACCCGCACGACCAACCAGGGCCGGGGACAAACTGCAACCGAAGTACGTGCCCTTAGCGGGAACCGAACCCGGGTCTCTCCGGACCGCAGGCCGACGCTCTAACCGCTGAGCCAAACTGGCCAGGGCTATCTGATAAAATTTTAAAAATGAGTCCCGAGTGTAAAAATGCTAACTTCTTCAGGTTTAAGAATTAAAGAATTCCACATTCAATATAATATGTGTGTATATTTCTCTCCATTACACACAGATTGAAAGCTTCTATATAATCAACATTAAATCCTTCAATCATATAAAAGGAAGTTTAAGAATATAGATATAATTATAGCATTACAACATACCAGAATACAGTATGTTCTACAGAAAATAATTTATATGATTTCACTCACTGTGGGATACATGCTCTTTTAGGGAAGCATTGTGCTCAATGACAGAGAAACAGAACATTCCTATGCAAATCTGCTTCTAAAACTGTACATATTAATGACAAAATAAAGATTGACTTAAACTTATGTCAACAACATTAAACTATACATACAGCTTATAGTTTATTAACTTTAAAAGACAAAATTTTAAAACTCTAAAAAAACAAATACATAAATATAGAAACCCTAAAGCATTAGATTTACAATGTTCACCCCTAAGAAAATATGCCAAAAAATAAAAACAAAAAAGCATGAGAAAAAAAGAGATACAATCCACTTATTAAAAAATGAGGGTAGGGGATTAATGACAATCATATTAAAGATATTTACCTTCTTTGGGTTGAGCCATAACTGGAGTCTGAGTTTCCTTTGTATATGTCACAATTTCTCGAGGAGGAAAGTCAACTTGTGTAATTTTAGCCATTCCAAGTTTAATAGGTCCTCGTCTAAATAAAGTGAACACAAATGTTTTAAAATACAACAAATGATACAATGAACTACATCAAAACCATGTTATTTTGGAATAGTAAGAATTAAACATTGTGTATCCAACACTGTAATTTAAATCCCTGTTTTACTCAAGAAATTTTAGATGCACAATGAATTGGTTTTATCTTAACAAAAGAATTAGAAGGTAGCAAAAACAAAAGATATCTCTGAATCATTCAAGGTATTTATTTTTCACTTTAAAAAGGCAAATAATTTAGTTTCTTAGAGCAAAAGTGTGGTAATAATAGAGTAAGAGGATAGGTAATTCAGAGTGGTCTGATGAATATGGATGGTTATGAGGACTTTTTTTTTTAAAGCAGGGATATGATTCTTGACTGTTTTGAAGAGTCAGATAATATGGATCTCACTCAGACCACTTTCAGTTCCCTTTACCATTATGAGACTTCACTTTTAAGACTAAAAATAACTTTCTGTTGAAAACCTTTCTTTCTACTTATATTTTGTAGAAACTGAGAATCACATAGTCAACTTAGATTTTAAAATGAAATATTTAAACTCAAACTGCTAATATCTGTATGGTACATGCTGTCCTTGATTCATATATGAACAAAATGTAGAACAGATACTTTATACCTAAACTAAAGCAACAGATCTTTTGAATACCATTAAACTACTAAAGTCACTTCTATTTTAAATAGAGGGAAAACATTCTTTTTTGACAAAGAGAAGAAAGTTGTGGCTGAGGAAAATAGAAAAATAAAAAATATTTTTTATCAGGTTTCTGGGGGATCTTTTCTTGGTTATTATAATAGATGTTTAAACTCTAAACCAAATAAAGTATGTATCCAAACTCCCAAAGAAGTTCTCAATTATAAAGCTGTCTTAAAAGGATATCTAAAAGATGTTGCTGTAAGTTCCAGAATATCAATCAGGATATCTGAAATATACATATATATCATTGGTAATGTAATAACTTCATTTTCAAAATCCTGTATAAAAATGTGTAATAAAATTATTACATTTAAAAAATGTATTTTCTCTAAGGTTCTAAATGTGGGCCATAAGAAATGTTAACTGTGTTTTCTACTTTAGGAATACCTTAGCCTTAAAGAAAAAGAGCATTATCAAAGAATTAAATGAGCCCTGGCCGGTTTGGCTCAGCGGTTAGAGCGTCGGCCCTCGGACCAAAGAGCCATGGGTTTAATTCCGGTCAAAAGCACGTACCTCGGTTTCGGGTTTGATCCCTAGCCCTGGTTGGGGTCATGTGGGAGGCAACCAATCGATGTGTCTCTCTCACATCAATGTTTCTCTCTCTCTCTCTCTCTTTCTCTCTCTCTCTCTCTCTCTCCTTCCCTCCCTCCCTCTACTCTATCTGAAAATCAACAGAAAAATATTCACAGGTGAGGATTAAAAAAAAAGTACTTAAATGAAAAAATGTAAGTACATTTTAACAGTCTAGTATTTTAAGAATAAAATTTGAAATAAAAAACATTACATTCTGATTTTTATGATGTGAGTCATGTGATAAAGAAAGCACTCACATATCTGGAGAAAATGGTCAAGCCAAACAACATTAAAATAAGTTACTAACTTGAATACATATAGGACCTAATAGATAAAAGTCACAATATCACAACAAACAAAATATTCTATGATTTAAAGGTAGAAGGGTAGGGAGGTAATACCTCACTTATCCAAAGCTATGTTTACTGAGAAACAGGAAGCAACTGGGGGGTGGGAGAGCCTCGGGGCAGCCAATAGGGAGGCCTTCCAGCTAATGTGCAAGAAGCTCATATACTTTTCTTATCTGCAATTCAAGGCTTATTTATCCTTACTTTAGCCATGATTCCAAAGGTATTGGTTATATTTTAGAAGCTGCAAATTATCAAGGGAAAATAGCTGTCTTAGTCAGGCACTGTGGCAGCAGCAAACATTTATATTTTGCATTGGGGACTAAAATAAATAAATGAGTGAATAAATGAACTAATAAATAAACAAATAAACCAATAGCAATCTGGGTATGGCCACAGTGTAGAGACCAACAGCTCTGTTGTTCTCAAAATGTCAGAAATCATCACTGCATTTTAATATAGAAAAATAAATTAATATTCATAGCAAGTAACCCAGAAAAGATTTAATTACATGTAGAATATGTATTATGTGGGAACTTTGTAATATATATTTTAAAAGCTTACATAAAAATATAGAAATAATAAAAGTAATCTGCACACTTAAATTGGCAGATACAGGGCATCTAGAAAATCAGATACATAGATTTCTTTCATGAAACGATAGAGGATAAATGAGGTGTCACAGTAAAATAATTCTTGTCCTAACTATATACTGCATATTACAAATTTGAACAAAATAAAATTAGGACAGTTTCACAAAGAATCAAATTAATTATAAAAAAGGGAAGGTAATAAATCTATTCAATACCCCAAATCGGAATCTGAGTGAAGCTGAAGAACTGATGGATCTGTATCCCAATGCAGCGTCCTAAATGGTTGTAGGACAACCATGAAGCATTAGCAGAAAAGGCCATAAGTTAGTCAAGCAAATACACTTTATGAATAGCTAAAATACTGTTCACAATTTAAAACCACTTGTTCAGGTTAGTATGAAAAGAACACCAGGTATCACTCAATGCTCTAGTGCATGCAATAAGCACAATACGGTTGAAGATGCAAACATATAACCTAGAATAGTTAAAAGGCAGTTTTTTCAGATTAAGGGAAACTAATAATGCACAATAATAGATAAGAACAGCCAAGCATTCAACAATACAAATAATACATTATTTTTGGATGATAACAAGCTGGACTATATAAATAGTTTAAAATTTAAGTTTCCTAATAAAAAAATTAGTAAAAATATCTTAGTTAACATATTATAATCTTGCCCAAAGCATTTAATGTGTGCAGGAAATTGTCATATTGGTAAAAGGAAATGAGTCAACACATAAGCCTTTCGGTAAGAAAGCCAAAGACTATTCCACTGGGATATAAAAAAGCTAAAGTTTCCAAAATGTGACCCTTATGTAATTTATGGGTTAAGCACTGCCTTGGGCTTACATGTCATCTGCTTTAGAAAGCAGCTGAAGATTTGTCTCTAGGAAAAAAATAGACTTTTCCCAGAAAATATTTATTTTATGTTCAAGTTTTACTTGAACTAAATTTTTGGAGATTATCAATCCTAAATAAATATTCAGTTGTGCTTTAGCCTTGCCTACTGGGATCTTTACCACTTAAGTGAAATCTAGTCATTACTAAAACAAAGGTACTTTGTTACACTGGTATTCTTACAGGTTAGTGATATATAAAATGATTATGTACAGTACTGTATGATGCTCACTATTAAAAAGTTAAGCACAATGATTCAGTGCTAATATTTTTGTTAAAATATTAGCTTCTCATGTAAGTTACAATGTACAACTAAATCTACTATAATATTTAAATACAACAAATGATTTCTGTATTTTACTTGCCTATACAATTTATCAATAAAAACAATCAGTTGACTTGAACTAGAGGTATTTTTCATTTTAGAAATATAAAGATTTTGGGATTTAAATAGTGTGCGTATGCCAAGAAAAAAGAGGCCACAATGAAGATTTACTATGTACAAAGCAATGAAGAACAAACTTGGGCTTTGTTAAACAAGGGGTTCTATGAGATGCTCTCCAAGGAATGTTCTATCCATAGCCTTTACATTATATGAGAGCTTTTGCTGTTATTAGTGAAATAGAACTCCTTGTTGAAGATGTCATTTTAGTCTAACATCGAGTAAAATTTTGCTGCAAAATACAACGAGTACAGAAAACATACTGAACATATAGGATTATATTTATTAAAGGCATCTGCAGACATATGAAGTAAAACTCCAATATAATTCAAAAGCCGGAGAAACTGATCAAGAATGGAAAAAAAGGAACAAGAGGCAAGGCTTTCCCAATAGAATAACTGCTGCTACTTAAGTTTTAAAGATAATTCTGTGCTTGAGAAAGTAAACAGAAACCTAGTGAAATGTAACTTCCTAATCTGCAAAGTTAGAGAAATACCATTTTTCATGGCCTCTTATATTTATTCATCAATTACCAGTAGACTCAATAAAAATTTTTGGCATTTAGAAACAATGATTTTGACATTATTTCAATATCATATTTGAAAATGTCTAATATATCTTTTTCCTATCCCTGAGTGTACTAATCTTAGACTGTCTCGGCCATCTCATACACCTTCATGCATTTTCCTTTTATATTTCTTCTTCTTCTCTTTATTCTTTCATTATTATCATGCCTGCTCAATTTGAGTTCATTCTGTTTCATTTTCAGAAACTATTCTTTTACAAAGCCATATCTTTAACAATGCTATTATTTTACTGACAATAGTACCAATTAATCAACAATATTAATTATCTTTCTACTGTGGAATCTGGAGATGATTTAGTGGAAGTCACAGTTTTCTATTTTCATGTGCGTGTGTACAATGAACAAATGAACATACTCAGGCCTAATGAAAATCAATGTTTAAAATGAGTTCAAAGGAGACAATGTATGCACTAGGACTAAAAAGGTTGCCCTGGCTGGTTCGACTCAGTGGTTAGAGCGTCAGCCTGCGGTCTTGAGAGACCCGGGTTCAGTTCCCGCTAAGAGCACGTACCTCGGTTGCAGTTTGTCCCCGGCCCCAGTTGGGGTCGTGTGGGTGGTGGCCCGTTGATGTCTCTCTCTCTCTCTCTCTCTCTCTCTCTCTCTCTCTCGCATCGATGTTTCTCTCTCTCTTACTCCCTCCCTCCCTCTCATTCTAGCTGAAGATGAATGCAAAAATGTCCTCGGGTGAGGATAAAAAAAAAAAGATATGCCACCTCATTCAAAATGAGGAATTTTTCCCTCCCCAGTTAGAAACTAATTTTATATTCATTCTCCAATAAGAATAAATACCCTTAAAGATATTTAAATACCTATTTTCTTGTTTTATAACTTATATTTAAAGTCTTCACTTTATTTTATTTATTTTTAATTGTTGAAATACAGATGTCCCCTCCTTCCTCCCCCCGACCCCCTGCTTCCACCCCCCTCCTTCTTTCCCCAACCTAATGTCTGTGTCCACTGGTTGTACATATATACATATAAGTTCTTTGGTTTATCTCCTCTCATCCCTCCCCCAATCCCTCTGAAGTTTGTCAGTCTGTTCCCAACTTCTGTGACTCTGAATCTGTTTTGATTGACAGCTTATTTTGTTCATGACGTTCCACAAATAAGTGAGATCATGTGGTACTTGTCTTTTTCTGACTGGCTTATTTCACTCAGCATAATACTGTCCAGGTCTCTCCATGTTGTCTCAAAGGGTAAGAGATCTCTCTTTCTTACAGCTGCATAGTACTCCATTGTGTAAATGTACCACAACCATTTTATCCACTCATCTACCGATAGACACTGGGATTGTTTCCAGATCTTAGCTATTGTAAAAAGCACTGCTATGAACAGATGGGTGTATATATTCTTTCTGAGTGTTGTTTCAGGCTTCTAAGGATATATTCCTAGAAGTGGAATCACTGAGTCAAATGGCAATTCCATTTTTTATTTTTTGAGGAAGCACCATATTGTTTTCCACAGCAGCTACACGAGTCTGCATTCCCACCAACTGCATTCTCCACATCCTTGCCAGCACTTGTTTGAAGATTTGATGATGGCAGCCATTCTGGCAGGTGTGAGGTAGTATCTCATAGTCGTTTTAATTTGCATATTTCTGATGATTAGTGACCTTGAGCATTTTTTCATATGTCCCTTGGCCATTTGTATATCCTATGTGGAGAAGTGTCTATTGAGGTCCTCTGGCCTACATAAAGATTTTTAACTAGCTATGTTTAATTTCATTTTAGCTGTCACAAGAAGTAAAAAAGTACGATGTTGTTAAAGATTTGTCATTTGTGTGTGTGTGAGAGAGAAAAAGAGAGAGAGAGAGAGAGAGAGAGAAGTAATAATACTTTTCCCAACATGATTTTTGGAAAGAAGCTGAAATTTTACTGAATTTTTGAAAAGCAAGACCCAACAAGTGTGCGGATCCTAAAACAAACATGAAATACAGTTCCACAAGGAAGATGCAAATTCAGGAAAACTTGGCAGGAAACACTCTTTTCTTTTTTCATTGAGGTATAATTGACACATAACATTATATTATTTTCAGGTATATGACATAATGATTCCATATTTGTATATATTATAAAATGATCACTATAATACATATAGTTAACATCACCACCATACAGTTATGAATTTCTTTTTCTTGCAATGAGAAGTTTTTAAAGATCTACTCTCTTAGTAACTTTCAAATATGCAATACAATGTTGTTAACTATAGTCACCATACTGTATATTATATCCCCATGACTTATTTATAACTGTAAGTTTATACCTTTTGACCCCCCTTTCACCCATTTTGCCCATCTCCTGCTCCTCATCTCTGGCAATCACCAATCTGTTCTATAGGCTTACTTATTAAGATACCACATATAAGTGAGGTTACATAGTATTTGTTTGTCTCTGTCTTATTTTACTTAGCATGATGTCCTCAAGGCAGTGAAAACCTTAATGTTTCCTTAGCAATTATTCCTTAGTCTTGATATTTTATGCATTATTATTTTGTACTTTAATTGTAACTAGTGAATTAACAGAGCAGAATTGGGTTTTTTAACTGTATTGTTGAGATTTTCAATTACTGAATGGGGAATTAAGCACAACAGAGAGGTTATACACTATTTATACTTCAAACAGTCACATATTAACCAATATAAAGTTTATTTAAATAGTAAACATTTAAATAAATTAATACCTCTATTTCAGTATAAAATTAGTAGCATAAAATCGGTTAACTATTCAATACTAAGTTAATCAAGGGTGACAGTTAAAATACTGTAAAGAAAAAGTTTCCCCCAATTTACCACAAACAATTTCTGTGCCATTTAGATTTCAAAATATTAAGACTAACTCAACGTAACTATTTAGTTGACAATGTCTGAGCACTAAATGCATTCTACCCTTACAATATTAAAAGAAAATTACTATACCTAGATCCCACTGCGCCATCTCCAGAGTCTTGGCTTCCAGCTTCACTTGGTGTGCTCACAGATTTGGAGGATGGAGACATAGGAGGAGGGACTAAATAGTGAAATAGACAGGTATCCGCTGTTACTACACGGAGAGGTTGCTCAGCTTATGACGTTTCAAAAGTAATTTAACATGAAGTAATTAACAAAAAAGAAAAAATAATGACAAACCAAAAAACAAAAATACATGAATGAAAATGAACAGTAGAAAGAAGAGGAGAAAGACAAAGTTAACAATGCATGCTGACGATTCATGCAATTTCTCTGGCAAAATGCATTTGGGCTTTATAGTAAAAAAAGATTATAGAAGAGTGCGTCTTCATCTCAGCCAACACCAAATGTGGGCACTAATTTTCAAAGGAAAGCATTCCTTCTCCCCTTTCTTTTTAAAATATGTTTTTATTGATTTTTTTTTTTTTTTTAGAAAGAGAGAGGAAGGGAGACAGAGATGGAAACATCGATGTGAGAAAGAAACATCAATCAGCTGCCTCCTGCAATCCCTTCACTAGGGATTGAGTCCGCAACGTGGGCATGTGCCCTGACCGGGAATCACTGAGCCTCACCGGCTGGGCACTTCTCCCCTTTCTAATGTCTCACTTTTAAGGTCATCAGATTATAAATAATATTTATAATTGCTGTCAAAATCAAAATATGCTTCAAAAGTCATTAACTCATTTTCTGAGATTTACTTTTAAATGTTAATTTTTGTCTAACAATTTTTTTCTTTCAAAAAATGTCTTAAATGATTTAATTTCCCCCCACCAAAAAAATAAAGGCCAATTTTAAAAAATGACTAGCTAAAGGAATGATTCCTTTAAAATGTCCATTAGTTTCCAGCAATTTGGGTGAAAAATGCAAACAGGCCATAAAACAGCATGCCTTCTAGACATGATGCATAACATAAAGTGATGCATGCAACTTAAACAAGGCAAGACTTATGATAACTTCCTTACCCCAGTATTCAGAAAAAACTGAAGTGTACAGACAAAGATACAGACACCCAAAATATTCTTAATCCCTTCTTATAGAAAAATACACATTTTTCATAGTATATAAAACAAACAGCAAATGCCTTCCCCTAAACTGTCACTTATAACATTATATACCAACAGTTGAGCGTGCATATTTCATGCTATTACATTTGTAAAACTTTTTTATTACCATTGCAGGGAGTATAGGAGGATCATCACTGCCATCTTCTGGTTAAATTTTACCATAATTGTTCCCAATCCCAAGTATCTTTTTAAAATAATTTTTCAAAGTACAATATTAACTGGCTAATACATTTTATGTTGAGCTGCAAGCCCTACTTTTACTAGTCTACTGAAAAGAAGGTAAGTTCCCAGTTACACAGGAACTGAAGAAATATGGTATTTATTTCTTTAATTAAAATTCTGTTTTTAGAATAGTCACATTCACTGAACCCTTAAAATTATGTTTACATGTTTATGCATGCTACAGTACAAACTGTGGGTTTGCTAATCTAACAAAATGTACAAGTTTAGTATAATGGATTACATCTTAAACATAGGTGCACAACTGATCATTCTATTATTTCAGTGGCAAATTCTACTGGTAACCAGTAAAATTAGAAGAAAAAAATCATAGCTAGAATGTTTGTTTCCTGAGATAGCGATTCATTATTACTTAAATTCCAAAAGACTATAAAAACATAATTAAATGTTTCTAATTTTGTGATTAAATCTCTCAGAAACAATGATAAAACCAAACTGCCTTCATCTAGTTCACATCCAGATAGTACTGTGCTAGGTGCTGCATGTATAATGCAAAGTAGCTAAAAATGACTTATATCTGAAATAAAAGAACATTAATACCCCTTAACTTCTCTTGTTACATTTCCTCATCTTTTGGTTCATCTATCACTATAAGGCTTCCCTTAGGCAAAGATCCAAATGGACAGGAATAAAGAGTAATATCTAACAGTGGTTTGCCACTATAAACAGTTAATTAATTCATAATGAGGCAACATAATGTTTTGATATTAAAGGTTTCCAAAGGAGAAATTTTGTGCCTTTCTAATTACATAATTTCATGCTTATGAAAATAATTTTTCTAAGTAACATAGAAAGATTGGAGGAAAATAGTGTACTCCTCTCAATTTAATTGTGATAAACTACAAAATTCTTTTTTATGTTTTTTTTCCCCTTTCTAGTGACCTCAAGTATCAATGATTCCACTCAACAAGTTCAGCAGTATCTTTCTTGGTTAAGACTACATTAAAAAAAAATATATATATATATTTATGCACGCACCCACACCCACACCCACATGTACATATAGATGCACACATGCATAAAATCTCAAATTCTTTATGGAAACATGTTAAATAGTTAATTATACAAACATAAATAAATATACTAATTTAAGTCAATTCTGAAATAAAATTTCAGAAATAAAAAATAAATCATAGGGGTGACGCTACCAAATTATCAGTTTCTCAGCCAGAAGCAAAATAAATCACCATAACTCCAAATGTGTAATTAGACAAAAATCTCCAACCTAGAACTACATTTTTTCTATTAAAACAAAAGTTTCCCAGCCACAATAAATAATGTATACTACAAGAAAGAACAAACCTAAAAAAAAGAATGTTAATAGAAAAAAAAATGAATGGTAGCTCTTTTGATGACTACCATATTTTAACCCAATTAGTCTAGAAAAATCAAAGAATACAGTAATTGCACAATAAGGCAATACCACCATACTCCCAGACTCTTAACAAATGACCCAAGAACAAATGAAAGCATGCATTTAGAGATTAAAAATAAAACAACAAACTGAACAACTCATTGTCTCTCAAATCTCAGAAAAGACTCAATTCTAGAATTCATTTTTAAAGATGAGTTAAGAGTCCAATCAGCTTTGAAAATAACATAAGCTATGAATAATAAATGACTTGCTTAATAACAGTGATTCAAACAGATCACCTTACTACACAGTTCTGTATATAAAATAGCCTGAAACAAACCTTTAAATGGTACAAAATAAGAGATTTAATAATAACATAAGTGAGTATGTAAATGAATTTAAACTTCTTAGAAGTTTAGAGCAAAGACACCCATTTCCTTGTTTGAGAACTAATGGAGAAACATAAATTATACTGAAAAACAAATCTACACAGCATTCACTGATCGTGTAGGTAATACTAAAAGGTTGTGACTCTCTAGGACAAAAAGCCAATTAAGACAGCCTTTCCCACCAGCTCAGATTTGGCCTTCCAGTGATATAAAATTAACATTGATGTCTTTTGGCGTGTGAAGAAACAACTAGAATATATAAAATATATATATGTATGTATATATATTTTATCCTCACCCGAGGACTTTTTTTTCCATTTTTGTTCAGATAGAGTGGGAGGGAGAGAGAGGAAGAGAGAAACATCTATGTGAAAGGGACACATCGACTGGTTGCCTCCTGCACGCCCCCAACCAAGGCCCGGACAAATCACAACTGAGGTACGTGCCCTTGGCCAGAACCAAACCGGCGACTCCTTGGTCCGTGGGCCGACACTCTAACCACTGAGCCAAACTGGGCAGGGCTAGAATATTATTAAAGCACAAAGGACCTGGGAATGTACCTAGATTTAGAATTAGAATTAAATTTGAGTTAATCACTGAGAACTACACAGAAGCCTCAGAGATGAAAGAAGCTACACAGCCCAATTATTTTTCAAGTAAAAGAAAGCCTCTGGCAAGAAGGGGCTTTTCCAGAAAGAAGAACCTAGGAAGGTAGAAAATCAAGGAAAGTATATGCAGGGAATGAAAGTGCTGGTAGAAGACAATGATATGGAAGGAGTGAGCTTCTGAGATAATCTGAAGTAGTAAGGCCTCTTCTAGGATACTTAGTATTCCAACGCAGCCCTTGTTACAATTATGCCCCCTTGTGGACACAAGTGCTCCTAGCCTGAAATAGTAATATCTGGGTAACTTTTTCATACCTTACTCTTTTTATCCTGAAAGCTATTGCTTTAAATCTTAAATCTCTGAAAACTAATTTCTCCCTTTTCTATGGCCCTTTCTCCTCATAATAAAGTTTATCTTCCACTAATCTCCCCTAAATGTTTCCTTTCCTTTATTCTCTTCAATATAATTCAAAGCATCAAAAATTTTTTTAAGAAATTAATAAAAATACAATTTTATAGAATTAAAATACTATAAGAAACTATTAAATTTAGACTAAAATCGCTTGAAAAAGTGACTTGGTACATGGAAAGTATTCTACCTAAAAATCTTTAAAATATTCAAAAGTTACAAGAGGAAAGGGGAAAGGAAAAAAATGTAGCAATACTTAGACTAGCAAACTTCTTTTGTTTCTTCTTAATAAAAGAAAATCCAGATAATAAACCATCACATTAATCAATTTACTCTATCCAACTGATACAGATTCAGGCTACAGAGTAATCGACAATATGTTTGCAATTGACAATCTCTTTAAAAGATGGTTAAAACAGTAGTTACATATACAAAAAGAGATTTGCTTTATTTTTTTGATCATCAATGTTTAAGAACTCCACATTTGATACATGTCTTGAATGCTGTCTAAAATTAACTTTCTTAAGACCTGCCACTTAAATTCAGTTTTTAAAAAAAGCCATAGTGGAAATTTCCACAATTTTAAACAGTAAGATTTTGCTGTTCCTTTTCAAGCAGAATGGCTTTTATTTGGCCTTACCAGCTATAAAGCCATATGACCTAATAACAATGGAACAAACACTTAAGTGTCTAGCCTGTGCTGGGCACCAGGGATAAAAATTTAATATGTATTCCCTACTTTCAGGGATTTCTGACAAAAAACAAAAACAGTCAAATGACCAAATAAATATCTACCAGTAAAGAGAACCTAAGAGGTTTTATCAGCCATATCTTAAAAAAAACAAAAAACTTTGATACACTAAAATAAAAAGTCCATTTTAAGAAAATAATAGATTTTTACAATAAATCTTCTTGATTATCCTATCAATGTTCCTCTATTTTACAATAAAATACATATTTAAAAAAAAACAAACAAAAAAAAAACAGTTTCATTGATGCCCTGGCCGGTTTGGCTCAGCGGTTAGAGCATCGGCCCGTGGTCCCGAGAGACCAGGGTTCAGTTCCCGCTAAGGGCGCGTACCTTGGTTACAGTTTGTCCCCAGCCCTGGTTGGTCGTGCGGGTGGCAGCCACTCGATGTGTCCCTTTCACATTGATATTTCTCTTTCTCTCTCTGATCCTCTCTCGCCCTCCCACTCTATCTGAACAAAAAATGGAAAAATGTCCTCAGGTGAAGATAAAAAGAAAAAAAATTTTTTTTCATTGACTTTAGAGAGAAACTGATCGTCTGCCTCCTGCATGCCCCCTACTGGGTATCAAGCCTGAAACCCGGGCATGTGCCCTGACTGGGAATCAAACTGGCAACTTCTTGGTGCATGGTATGACGTTCAACCGAGTCACATCAGCCAGGGCACAAAAAAAATATATTTAATAAATTTATTCTGTATTGAAAAGAAAAACAAGTATCCACCCTGGGTCATGATACAAAAATGTATTTTTTATTGTGGGTGACTGTCAAAAAGTTTGACAGCCACTGCTTATATCTGTATCCCGTATTCTGTATCCCTAATTTTAAATAAATACTGGAAGGAATTTTAGGCATTCGCCAGAGAGCCAAAGGTGGAAAACCATGCAACTCACTTAATGTGACTAGTATAACCATTATAATAAAACCAGAGAAGATATAGTAAAAGGAAAAAAATTATGAGTCTTATAAGCATAGATGAAGAATTCCTAAATAAAATACTAATAAATTAATTTAGCAATGTGTAAGAAAAACAGTATCTCATAACTAAGTTGGGTTTATTTCAGAATCTAAGTATATTTTTACATTAGAAAACATCAATATAAATAATCATATTAAAATATTAAAGGAAAACAAAGCATATTTTCATCTCAAAATATGAAGAGATCTAGGAGTTTATGTAAATATTTTGGTGGTTTCAAAGAATGTCCACAAATTCTATGTGAATGTGGGCTGGACTTAGTGACTTTCTTCCAAAGGACAGAATGTAGGAGCAATGATGTTTTGGGACTTTCAATAGTAAGTCATAAAAAGAATAGCTTCCTCCTGGCTCTCTTTCTCTCTTAGATCGCTCACTCTGGGAAAACGCAGCTGACATGCTGCAAGGGTACTCAAGCAGTTCTGTGTGGTGGCCCGAATGGAGAGGAACTCAGCCCTCCTACTAACAGCCAACACCAACTTGTCAGACTTGGAAGTGTGCCATCTTGAAAGCACATTCTCTGACCCCAGTGAAGAGTCCAGATGACAACTCTGACTAATATCTTGACTTCAACCCCATGACAGACCCTGAGCCAGAACCACTCAGCTAAGCCACTATTAAATTCCTGACTGTCAGAAACTGAGAGAGATAATAAATGTTTATTATTGTGTTTTTTAAAGCTGATATAAGAAGAAATAGAAAACTTAGACTATAACCATAAAAAACTTGAAACAGTAAAAAACAAAACAAAAAAACCCCCAAAACCTGTTGCCCACCACCTCCTGGGGAAAATGTCATAACTCCAGGTAGCTTTACAGTTTAATTTTATCAAGTTTTTAAGGGATAGGTAATACCTATCTTTTATAACTTGTTCTACAAAATAGCATAAGGGAAAGCTGTCCAATTTACTTCAAATCATGACCAGAATGGCCACTGAACATGGAAAGTACAAGAATATTACGGGCACATTTTACTTATGAGTATATACACAAAAATCCTAAATAAAATATTACCTACTCTATTCTTTTTTTTTTTTTTTTTTATCCTCACCCGAGGACATTCTTCCATTTTTTGTTCAGATAGAGCGGGAGAGAGAGAGAGAGAGAGAGAGAAACATCGACGTGAAGGGACACATCGAGTGGCCGCCACCCGCACGACCAACCAGGGCTGGGGACAAACTGCAACCGAGGCACGTGCCCTTAGCGGGAACCGAACCCGGGTCTCTCCGGACCGCAGGCCGACGCTCCAACCGCTGAGCCAAACCGGCCAGGGCTACCTACTCTATTCTTAAAATACACACACACACACCCACCCACACACACACCCTTTTGTCTGCCACCCCTTGGCAGTGATTATTAGTTATTAAAGTGAAAAATGTTAAGCATGTCTCATGCTTTTCTACCAGAAAATGCAGTTAGAGTAACAAAATAGCCCTATTTACTGAGGGAAAACTCCCTTTTACAGAAGAATGAGACATATAGTACAATGCCATGTATGTATATAAAACACGCACACACAAAGATACATGAAAACTTTGAAAATGTAAACACATGTACGACAGATCAAAAGGATATATATTAAAAATGCAAAAGTACTTAATGCAAGACTGAAAAGAAGAATGACAATGGAGATGGGATATAAGGCGGAAACACATGTAAACATATATATGCACACAACTAAAGAACAATTTTTGAAGGCTTGATGATGGAAGTGGCCATAAATTAAGAAACATGAGCAGGTGAATTCAGTGAAACTGATGTCCTAAAAAAAGAATAGAAAAGGAAAAAAAATCCTACAGGAGACAAACAAAAGCCAAAGGCTCAGAAAAAATGATCATTCAAAGACTATAAAACTAACAAGCAACTTGGTATTTTTTAAATAAGAAAAATGTTCTGATTCATTTACTTTTAAAATTGCAATACGTAACATAAGCTTATGAAATAAAGATATAAACATAAATGTATTTCAATCTTCACATTCTACCAATAAGGAAAAGGCTGAAAGATGAGCTGAAAGAAGTAACAATGAATCAAGACGATGAGAGGAAACCAGTTTTTTCATCTTCAAACCTCTTAAAAATACCAACTCTAAGGATAATTTTATTGCAGTTTTGCAATACATACTGCAGTTACGATCTCTGGTTGTTCCCTGGACTAGATGAAATTAACCCATAAGCTAATGCTGAAATTTTAGGTCACTAAAGGACAATGGCCACGTCAAACTAAAATACTATATAAAAGCACTCAGCTCAAAATTATTAAGCATTTAATGCTTTCTGATATGTAACTGACCATCCTCAGTGCCTCTACTATTTCAGCTTCTTGGTCTTGCATTGCTATCAAAATCAATAACAACAAAAACAAAAACAAACAAGACTATGTCAGATCACTGCCAAAATAATGTATCGATATTATTCCCCTTATTAGCATTGTGAGCAGAAGGCTATACGCTTCTCCCTCCACTCCTATACTTTTGAAGAATAATATACCTTTAGAACTTTGATTGATTCCACCTCTGACTAACCTACAGAAAGGAATATAGAGCTAAAATCAAGAATCATAACCATCTTTGAGCTTAATACAGTATGGCACAGAAAACTTGTTCAACAAATGTTTGTTGAAATACATTACTGATTAAACAAGAAAAATCAATTGGTAGTTCAATAAACATAATTAACCTTGCAGTTCTCTTGAGCACACAAAATAACCATGTATTAGCACATCTCAAAAAAGACAATTAAATCAATAAGATCAATAATTTTTAAGATGCATGAATAAGAAAATTATACAAAATATATTGTCAATTCACTCATCTAAGGTACATGTGAGCTGAACAGAAATATACGTCTCTTACAGTGGATATATTCTTATCCTTACCAATGGGTGATTCTGGAGTTAGCCCCATGCTTTGAAGCAGCGCTTCAGCTTCTCTTCTTTTTTTTTCAAGATCGGATTCCTCCTGCACAGGAGCAACTGCTTCCTTCTTCTGATCAGTCTAAATTTTTTAAGTTAAAAACTTAAGCTTACATATGGTACACATAATTTGCTTGCAAAAAAATGTACTTTGAATACACATTATTCTCACTAAATAAAAATCATTCTCAACAGAGTTCTAGTAAGTAATCTCCAAATGATATGTACTAAATTGATCCATTTAATCAAAGAGCTCCCACAAAAATTTTCCTAACAGATAAATTCTAAAAGTACAACCAACTTCTAATTATCTGCAGTATTAAATTGCTAGCCAACTAGGAATTGTGAAAAATCTCACCCAGTGACACAAAAGTTTAGATATAAATATCACAACATTATTTAAAAAAAACAAGATGGAATTATTTAAAAGGTAACAAAGTTTAACTAAATGGACAATTTGATTTGTTGAAAAAAGTATGAGTACCTCAAACTTCTGTATGGAGTTTTAATTATATTTATGCAACTTTATGTAAGGGTGTTTGTAAAAAAAAAAAATCATCTGGACAAAAGGTTTAAAAAATTTTTTTATACTATAGGTATTATTTTTATGATAAAAATGTGGCTGGGTTTGGTAAAATTAACTTTTCCATTATTCAAAACATTTTTAAAATTAAATTCTTGTCAACTTTTTTTTTTAATCCTCACCCGAGGACATTTTTCCACTTTTTGTTCAGATAGAGTGGGAGGGAGAGAGAGGGAGAGAAAGAGAGAGAGAGCGAGCGAGCGAAACATCAATGTGAAAGGGACACATCGAGTGGCTGCCACCCACATGACCAACCAGGGCCGGGGACAAACCGCAACCGAGGCACGCGCCCCTAGCAGGAACCGAACCCAGGTCTCTCTGGACCACAGGCCGACGTTCTAACCGCTGAGCCAAACCGGTCAGGGCAAATTCTTGTCAACTTTTATTTTAGACATTTATTGTTTTAGCAAAATTTTCCTGTTAAACTACATAAGCCTCAATACTCTCAGATCATTCAAATCATCTCAAGTGAAATTTAAGTCTTCAAGGGGAAAGTTTTATCTCTATATCTATCTATCTATCTACCTGCCTACCTACCTACAGTAATGCCCCCTCATCTGAGGTTTCACTTTCCATGGTTTCAATTACTTGTGGTTAACCTTGGTCTGAAAATATTAAATGGAAAATTCTAGAAATGAATAATTCAGAAATTTTAAATTGTATGCCATTCTGAGCAGCATGATGAAACCTTGCTCTGTCAAATTCCATCCAGCCTGGGATGTGAATCATCCCTTTGTTGTAACCATTCTCGGTTATCAGATTGTCTATCATGGCATTGAAGTGCTTGTGTTCAAGAAACCTTTATTTTATTTAATAATGTTCCAAAGCACAAAAGTAGTGACACTGGCAATTTGAATATGCCAAAGAGAAGCCATAAAGTGCATCCTTTAAGTGAAAAGGTAAAAGTTCTCAAGTTAATAAAGAAAAAAAATTGTATATTGAGGCTGCTAAGATCTACGGTAAGAATGAATATTCTATCTGTGAAATTGTACAGAAGGAAAAACAAATCTATTCTAGTTTGCTGAGAGAATACAGTCATATAACTTTTACTACACTATATTATCATAATTGTTCTATTTTATCACAGTCATGTACTGCTTATATAATGTTTTGGTCAACAACAAATAGGATATACAATGGTGGTCACATAAGATTATAATGGAACTGAAAAATTCCTACCTCCTAGTGATATCACAATACAATGCATTAAGCATGTGTTTGTGGTGATGCTGATGTAAACAAACCTACTGCACTATCCGTTATATAAAAGTATTGCACATTGCCCTGGCCAGGTGGCTTAGTTGTTTGGAGCATTGTCCCATGCACCAAAAGGTTGCAGGTTTGGTGACTAATCAGGGCACATACCCAAGTTTTGGGTTCAATTTCTGGTCAGAACATACAGGAGGCAACTGATAAATGTTTCTCTCTCACACCAATGTTTTTCTCTCCCTCCTTTCCTCTCATTCTAAAATCAATAAAAACATACCCTCGGGTGAGGATTAAAAAAAAGTATAGCACATGTAATTATGTATAGTACATAATACTTGATCATAATAATAATAAATGACTGTTACTGGTTTATGTATTCACTATACTATACTTTTTATCATTATTTTAGAATGTACTGTTTCTACTTACAAAAAACAAGTTTACTGTAAAACAGCATGCATATTACGCCAGCAGCAGCTTCATACATCTCTTGTATCGCACATATTTACACATATGCACCATGCTGATTTGATGTCATTCTGTTTTGTACAGTAACATGCTGTACAGGCTTGTGGCCTAGGGAGCAATAGGCTATACCAGAAGTGGGTAGTAGTATACTATGTAGGTTTGTGTAAGTACCTAAGATTATTTGCACAAGGATGAAACTACCTAAAGACAAATTTCTCAGAACATATTCACATCATTAAACAGTGCCTGACTATATTAGTTATTGTTAATCTCTTACTATGCCTAATTTATAAATTAAATTTTATCATAGGTACATATGGAGAGGACAAATCACAGTATTTATAGGGTTTGATACTATCTGTGGTTTCATGCATCCACTGGGCGTCTTGGACCCTTATCCCTCACAGAAGAAAAGACTGCTGTATACCTCAAATGCCTATTTTGACTAGACATCTATTACTTATACAATTGTCTGCAGTAAATTTTTTGTTTTTGTTTTTTATCCTCACCCGAGGACATTTTTCCAGTTTTTGTTCAGATAGAGTGAGGGGGAGAGAGAGGAAGAGAGAGAGAAACATCGATGTGAAAGGGACACATCAAGTGGCTGCCACCCGCATGACCAACCAGAGCGGGGGACAAACTGCAACCAAGGTACACGCCCCTAGTGGGAACCGAACCCGGGTCTCTCTGGATCTCAGGCCGACGCTCTAACCATTGAGCCAAACCGGCCAGGGCTGCGGTAAATTTTGTTAATCATAATATACTATGATACCATTTTAACTTAAAAATATTCATCAGAAAATTTCATCAAAATAGCCAAACAGGCTATAATATCAAGTTGACACTTTATCTAAAAATAACAATATATTAGTAGACTTATTGTTTATTTTTTCTTGTAATGTATATAAACTCTAAACTTGATATACAAATCTTGCAGTAGATATCTCTTACAGGTCACTATGACCATCTTTAGAAAACAAAACACAAACTTGCTCTCAGCACTGAAGGGCTTAAAGCTATAGATACTACTTTATAATGGCTCTGCCAGTCTGACTCATGCTTCTTCTACCAGACAGCTTTTATTGAAATAACTAACTTAAAGCTCCAACCCTCTTATAATAATGTATCACAGAAAGGTTCAGAATACACTAGAAAATTCTTCAATTACAGGCCTTCACAGCATCAATACAATGCCACATATAAATTTATCTTTGATTTTTCTACTACCATTTTTATTTCTTCCCTGAGAGATTGCTGTAAGCTTTGACTATTATTTAATCTATCACATGGAAAAACTTGGTACGAATGTAACACTTAGGATAAATTATCTTACACTGGCCATTTAAAACATACCTGTGATGAAAGTATACAAATTTATCTAAAGAACTTCCATGGGGATAAATGTACATTTCAATACAGGAGCAAGTAAAATATATCCAGCTCAGGGTCAATATATTCTTGCCATACATGATTAAATGATGATGCCAAAAATCAGAAGACATAAGTCCACCTGGTACACCTTTATCAAACCCGTAACTCGGTAAACATATCTCAATGACTAATTCACAATAAAGGAGAGAAAAACAAATCCCCTAATGAATTAAAGACTCTATTATATATTTCTCTTTGCCATTAATACTATCTTGACAAATTCACAGTTCAGACGAGTAAAATATTCAGATAAATAAGCTCAAAATCCAAACTAAGTTATGACATACTGTATATGCCATGTTTTATAAACAGATGCCCCTTACTTTATATAATATTCCTAGAAAACTAAATATGTAAGTTGAACTTTTATAAATCAAATCCTAGAAATGCATAAATCTACATAAAATATTTTTATTTAGCAAAAAAAAATAATACTTCATCAGTTTTGTTATTTTTAGTACTATTTGTGGTTTCAGACAACTATTACTCATGCAATTATCTGAAGTGAATTTTGTTAGTTATACCTGGTTTCTTTAAAGCAGATACACCTGTAGTGTTATATTCTGCAGTCACAACTGTGGATTTTTTTTAAACATTTTTGAAAGCTTTACATAAAGATGTAAGTATTTGAAATACAAACCAATTACTTTATATTAAGTTTACTTTTAAAAATTATACATACTTCCTTTTTTTTCCTTTCTTCTTCTTTTCTCTTCTTTTCTTCTCTGATTTGGGCCAACCGCTGCTTCTTACGTTCCAATTCTGCCTTTAATTCACTTTTGTCCGACATGTTTGTGACCTTAAGAAGCATATAATCGTATACAATCATCGTTACCAAAAAAAAAATCTGTCTTCAAGAGGAGCAATGTCTCAAGAGGCCATGTAGTTCAATGTTATCTAAAGAGAACATATAAACTCTAATTTGAAAAGAATGGAAGCATATCAATTACTAATACTTGAAAACAGTATAAACAAATGTATATAAGAAATATTATTCAGAGTTGGGCATAGTAGCTAGCACATAGCTCTTTAATGTTCACATGTCCAAATTTAACACAGTATCTCTGGCTCTTAAAACAGAGGACATGTGTTGGCATTAGGAAGCTTAACTTAGGCTACACGATACACAACAAATCTACTACCAAAACTTTACATTTCATTCCTAGCAATTTGATCAAAACAGTGTGCGGTCAGACACAACATTCCTGCAAATTCTTAAAGTTCAATATATTAGTAACATTTTGGACAAACAAAACACAAAAATAACCATAATTTACTATTAAATATACTCAGTTACAGTGACTATGTTTAGTCAAAGCCCCCAAAGAAAGTCTAACCGGCCTAACTCCCTACAGCTGACCGGCCGGCTCACCCTCACGGACCTGAGCCTCAATGACCAACACACACGTTCACTTCCTTAAAACTCGAAGGAAGAGCATTGTCTCTGGAACTTCGTGCTACAATCTCCGCGTTTGGGTACTACTTCCCAAGACAAACGGTGAGGGCAAACGCTGTCGAGAAAAGTAGGAATGATTTTTATTTGTAAAATGGAGCAAGTCGAAAAGCAGTCATTCTCCCCTGGGGTCACGGCCAAGAGGGCGCGGCCCAGGACAGTGCGTCCGGAGGAGGGGACTGGTGGGCGCTGGACAAGCCTCGAGGCTCTTCGAGCCACCTCCGGAGGATCAAGAAAGTCAGGGGGTGGACTCGTGTCCCCGGCCTTCCTGAGTCACCGCAGCTGGCTCTCCCCGCCTCTCCACACGGAGCCGGCCCAGGAGGCAATGTCAGCAGCAACTCCCAAGCCGCCCTGAGTGCGGACGTGAGACAGCAGGCAGGAGGGCCTTGAGGGAGGACAGTGAACCCACCTGTCAGGTGGCGAGATGGTGAAGAATCCGCCCGCCTGCAACTTTCCGACAGCGTCCCTCTCCTTCACCCACACCACCAATTGTCGCCGCCACCAGCTCCGCGGCTACTCCAGGCGCACAAAGAGGGATGGGCGGCGGCTGCTACGGTGAGTGCTTAGGGACAAATGGCTTCATCAGAACGAGGTCGATCCCGGGGAAAAAAGGGGTGGAGCCGTGCTGCGAGGAATTGTAGCCCCTCTGTGATTTTACCTGTGTAAAGCAGAAGGAAAAGGATGAGACAAAGAAGCCAGTCGGCCCAGGAGCCCACTGTTCCCGCTTTGCCCCAAACTGGAAAACTATTGCTAATATCCAAGAACTGGATAAGCAACCACCGCTATGGCCGTACACACAGACACGACCCGGGAAAACTACAAGCCCCAGCTCCAGCTCCAAGGTAAGCGTGCTTGCGGCGAGCAATGCATTCTGGGAGTTGTCGCAAAGTATGCTGGGACATGTAGTGTTTCCTAGTCTTGCGGTTCCCTACTTTGAGGCCTTCTTCCTTCAAAATTCCCATGAGCAGCTTTCACACTTCTGTTTAATGTATTCTGTCCGTTGATCAGTGCACACAATATTGTGCATTGTAAGATCTTTGACTTAACGTTGGACGAATTTAAAAAAGTGTTTTCCAGTGGTGAATCTTTATATTGCATTGCACCTTTTGGTGTAGACACTTTTTAGAGTATATATACTAATTTTAAAAGAAAAATAATGCCTTATAGAGGTTTCATGTGGAATCTTAAACAAAATTTAAAATACAAAATCTATATTTTAAAAATATATTGTAGCCCTGGCCGGTTTTGCTCAGCGGTTAGAGCATCGGCCTGCGGTCCTGAGACACGAGGGTTCGGTTCCCGCTAAGGGCACGTACCTGGGTTGCAGTTTGTCCCCGGCCCTTGTCGGTTGTGCGGGTGGCAACCACTCGATGTGTCTCTTCACATCGATGTTTCTCTCTCTCTGTCCCTCTCTCTCCCTCCCACTCTACCTGAACAAAAAAAAAAAACGGAAAAATGTCCTCGGGTGAGGATTAAAAAAAAATATATATATATATATATATATATATATTGTAACCCCATTCTGTCAAAAACTGGGAGAAATTATCTTTAATTAGAAAGATACTTGTAAATCTTACTCAGTTGTTACTGGTATTTATGGTGTGAACTTGCTTAGCTGCAGTGTTAGAGTTTTGAAAATTAACAATAAAAATTTATAATTCCTATATTTCATCATGTACACATCGACTGACTATTCATTTGAGGCTACAAATAAATTACTGTTGCAAAAATAATAATTATAAAATAAATAAATAAGAATATATTAATCAGCATATCATTTAATTCTCCTGTATTTTGCTGCAGTGTAATAGGTAGGATTTTGGTTTGCTCTCAAATAATTTTTTAAAAGAAAGCATTTTATACTATTGAAATCTAAACCAAGCAAAAATGGTTTCCACAGTTGTTGAGTATTTTAATATACAAAGAAAGCAAAAGTTATTGGACTATGAGTTTGCCAGAAATTTATGGGCTGATAGACATTTCTTAAAATTTTATTTAAATAACTTAAAGCATTATTTGACAAGAATTAAAATGAACACCAAAGCAATATCTTATATTCTAGAAGGACAAGTCTAAAATTCAAATTCTTGGGCCTGGGCCTAATATTCATAAATATGATGAAGTTGCATTTAGACAATTCAAGCTAATTACAGAGGCTGTTCAGGGAAAAGACTGCCTGACTAATTTCTATGGCATGAATCTTACCCTTGACGAAATGTTCTCCATGGTGGAAAAATGGCAGACCATGATTGAAGCTCATGTTGATGTTAAGACTACCAATAGTTATTTGCTTCATCTATTCTGTGTTCGTTTTATTTTTAAAAAAACAACAACTCAACAATCAGATTTGGAGGACCTCTTATGCTCAGCATCAACAGGTTCATCAAATCCAGAAGAAGATGATGGAAATCATGACCTGAGATGTACAGAAAAATGACTTTAAAGAAGTGGTCAATAAGTTGATGCCAGGCAGCATTGGAAAAGACATAGAAAAGGCTTTTGTCAGTCTATTTATCATTCCATAATGTATTTGTTACAAAAGTAAATATGCTAAAGAAGCCCACGTTTGAATTGGGAAAACTCATGGAGCTTCATGGCAAAGGTAGCAGTTCTGGAAAAGCTACTGGGAACGAGACAGATACTAAAGTTGAATTAGCTGATGAATATGAGCCCCCAGTCTAAGAATTTGTTGAAAATTCAGAAATTTAATGGTGACAAATAAAAAATCTTATTTGTTATATATTAAAGAAAAAAAGTTGTCCCAGACTTGTCATATACTCGGGTGCCTGGGAGAAACGATCTTTTTTGTAGGAACCGATCCATATTTCAGGCTTTGAGTAATTTCACATAAATAAATTTTAAGAAATATAAGATCAAAAATCACAAATACAAAAAGAAAGAAGGCACCCAAAGCAAGAGCCAACCAACCAAAGTAGCAAATAGAATAAGATCCACAAAGACTGCAGATATTAGGATATTCAGCCACAGAATATAAAGTAAATATGGTTAACATGTTTAAGAAAGTAAAAGAACCCTGGCCAGTTTGGCTCAGCGGTTAGAGCGTTGGCCTGTGGTCCAGAGAGACTTGGGTTCAGTTCCTGCTAAGGGCATGAACCTCCGTTGCAGTTTGTCCCCGGCCCTGGTTGGGGTCGTGCGGGAGGCAGCCACTCGATGTGTCCCTTTCCTGTTGATGTTTCTCTCTCTCTCTCTCTCTTCCTTCCTCTCCCTCCCACTCTATCTGAACAAAAAATAAAATAATGCCCTCGGGTGAGAATTAAATTAAAAACAACAACAACAAAAAAATGAAAGTAAAAGAAGGAATAGAAAATATGGCTAAAACAGCAATTATAAAAAGAATGCCTAGAACTTCTAGAAATTAATAAAATAGCATATGAAATAAAAAACTCAATAGATGGTGTTTAACACAGCTAAAGAAAGGAGTAGAATACTGCCCTTAGACCCAACTTTAGGCCCTGTACTTTGGAGTCCACTCTGGTCTTCATCCAGCCACAAGGAATCTGCATGGCTAAGGATATGGCCACTCATATGGAGACTATATGCCCCCTTCTAGATCATACTCCTAGCACCGCAGATCTTAAAATTCCCAGCTCAAATGGTCCCCGGCCTGCTTCCACTTCCTTAAGCAGACCTCTTCCCCAAGTCTCTGCTACTGAAGGTAGACTGTACCCTTAGGGAATGGCAAAGAAATGGCTCCTGTGGGATTATGGATCAAATTTTGATTTGTAGTTTGGCAGTCTAAATGTGTACACTGAATGTCTGTTGCAGTGTGATATAGAACTGAGGACAGAAAGAAAGGGGTTTGGGGTTTACAGTTAGAAAGTCAGCTGTCCCTGTGCCACTGTAATATAGGCCATAGCTCTAGGTATCCAGAAATTTAAAAATCAAACCAGGTCATTGTCAAGATAAAAGGATGGAATATATTTTATTTAATTCTTTGCTAGCTTGATTTCTAACTTTTATTTATTTATTTATTTTAAAATTATATTTATTGCTGAGAGTATTACAGATGTCCCCCTTTTTCCCCCATTGACCCCTCCATCCTGCTCCCAACCCCACCCAGGCCTGCCCTGCACTATTTTGTTTCCACTGGTTATGCTTATATGCATATAATTTCTTTGGTTAATCTCTTCCCATTCCCCTCCCTCCTTCCCTCTGAGATTCATCAGTCTGTTCTCTGTTTCCATATCTCTGTGTCTATTTTGTTCATCACTTTATTAGATCCACATATAAATGAGATCATGTGATACTTGTCTTCCTCTGACTGGCTCATTTCACTTGGCATAAAACTCGCCCTGGCCGGTTTACTCAGTGGTTAGAGCGTCGGCCTGCGGTCCAGAGAGACCCGGGTTCAGTTCCCGCTAAGGGCATGTACCTTGGTTGCAGTTTGGCCCTGGCCCTTGTTGGTCATGCGGGTGGCAGCCACTCGATATGTCCCTTTCACGTCGGTGTTTCTCTCTCTCTATTCTTCTCTCCCCCACCCCACTCTATCTGAACAAAAAATGTCCTTGGGTGAGGATAAAAAAACAACAACAAAAAAAACTCCCCATGTCCCTTCATGCCATCTCAAAGGGTAATAGAGCCATTTTTTTTTACAGCTGCATAGTATTCCATTGTGTACATGTATCACTGCTTTTTCAATCCACTCATTTACTGATGGGCACTTGGGCTATTTCCAGATCTTAGCTATTGTAAATAGCACTGCTATGAACATAGGGGTCTAGAACAAATACTCCAAAAGTTTACACGGAACCAAAAAGACCCCAAATAGCTGCAGCAATCTTGAAAAAGAAAAACAAAATTGGAGGGATCATAATATCCAATATCAGGATATACTAGTAATTACTAGTAAAGACACAGTAATAAAAACAGTATGTACTTGCATAAGAACAGGCATATAGATCAATAGAACAGAACAGAGAATCCAGAAATTGACCCAAGACATTATGCTCAGTTAATATTTGACAAAAAAGGCAAGAGCATACAATGGAGTAAAGATAGTCTCTTCAATCAATGGTGTTGGGAAAGTTGGACAGCTACATGCAAAAAATAAAACTAGAACAGCAACTTACACCATACACAAGAATAAACTTAAAATGGACAAAAGACTTAAATATAACTCATGAAACCATAAAAATCCTAGAAGAAATCATAGGCAAAAATATTTCAGACATCTCACATAACAGAATTTTCACTGATACATCATATAGGCCAAAGGAAAAAATAAACAAATGGGACTACGTCAACCTGAAAAGTTTCTCACAGCAAAAGAAACTAGCATTAAAATGAAAAGGGAACACACAGTATGGGAGAACATATTTGCCAGTGAGACAAAGGATAAGGGGTTAATTTCCAAAATATATAAAGTACTCACACAGCCCTGGCCGGTTTTGCTCAGTGGTTAGAGCATCAGCCCGCAGACCAGAGAGAACCGGGTTTGGTTCCCACTAAGGGTACGTACCTCGGTTGCAGTTTGGCCCTGTCCTGGGTTAGGGTCATGTGGGTGGCAGCCAGTAGATGTGTCTCTCTCACATTGATGTTTCTCTTTCTCTCTTCTTCCCCCTCTCCCTCCCATTCTATCTCAAGATAAATGCAAAAAAAAAAGTCCTTGGGTGAGGATAAAAAAATAAAAAATAAATAAAGTACTCACACAACTCAACAAAAGGAAGACAAACAATCCAATTTAAAAAATGGGCTCATGTCTGGCCGGTGTGGCTCAGTGGTTGAGCATTGACCATGCACCAAGAGGTCACCCGTTTGATTCCCAGTCAGGACACATGCCCAGGTGTGGGCCTGATCCCCAGTGGGGGTCATGCAGGAGGTAGCTAGTCGATGTTCTCTCAATGATGTTTCTGTTGCTCTCTCCCTCTCACTTTCTCTCTCTCCAAAAATCAATAAGGGGGAAAAAAAAATGGGCCCAAGGGCCTGAATAGTCACTTCTCCAAAGAGGACATACAAATGGCCAAGAAACATATGGAAAAATGCTCAAGGTCACTAATCATCAGAGATATGCAAATTAAAATGAGATACCACCTCACACTTGCCAGAATGGTTACCATCAACAAATCAACAAAGGACAAGTGCTGGCGAGGAGGTGGAGAAAAGGGGACTCTAGTACACTCCTGGTGGGAATGCAGACTGGTGTAGCCACTATGGAAAACAGTATGGAGTTTCCTCAAAAAATTAAAAGTGGAATTGTCATTTGACCCAGTGATCCCACTTCTAGGAATATATCCTAAGAAGCCTGAAACACCAATCTGAAAAAATATTTGATTTCTAACTTAAAAAATTTTTTTTAAATTTGTTTTACAGAAAGAGGGAGAGAGAGACAGAAACATCCATGAGAGGAGCGTGGATTGGCCGCCTCCTGCATGCCCCCCACTGGGGATCAGGCCCCCAACCTGGGCATGTGTCCTGACTGGGAATCAAACCTGTGACCTCTTGATGCTTGGGTCGACGCTCAACCACTGAGCCACACCGGCCAGACTGATTTCTAACTTTTAAACATATTTATATAGCATGTGGCCTTCCATTTGTACTCTAGTTTCTAGAGTCCTAGAAATATTAGGGGCAGGTTGAAAAGACAAAATCTGTTTATTATAAGATAGTACTAAAGAAATTATTTAGAATGAGGTATAGAGACAATAATATACTAAATAAGAAAGATTTAGAAACATGGAGGATAGGAGGAGGATGTTTAACAAACAACTCAAGTTCTAGAAGGGAAGGGGAGAGAGAATAGAGCAAAGGCAATATCTGAAAAGACAGTTTTCTACAACGGTGAAAAGCACCAATCCACAGATTCAAGAATTCCAATTGGTTGCAAACGAGATCAATGAAATCTAGAACTTGACACAGCAGAATGAAACTGTAATATTTAAAAATAGTAAAACAACAATAACAGCAAAGAAAAATAATCCAAATACCCATCAATTGGTGAATGGATAAATTGTAATATATCCATACAACGGAATACTGCTCAGCAAGAGAGGAATGAACTACTGAAATATACAACAGCATGAATGAATCTTAAAAACAGCATGCTAAGTGAAAGAAGCCAGACATAAATGACCACATACTGTATGATTGCGTTTCTATGAAATCCTAGACAAGGCAGAACTACAGTGACAAAAGGCAAACCAGTGGCTGCCTGGGGCTGAGATGGAGAGAGTGGCAAACTGCCAAGGGGGCATATGGGAACTTTTTTGCCCATATGGAGTGTTGGAGTATTTTGATTACCTTTGCTTTGTAGTAAGTTTTGAAATCAGAAAGTGTGAGACCTCCAACTTTGTTCTTTTTTTTTTTTCAAGATTGTTTTGGCTATTTGGAGTCCCTTGAAATTCCATATGAAATTTTTTTTAATCCTCACCCAAGGATATGGAGATATATATATATATATATATATATATATATATATATATGCTCACCCGAGGACATTTTTCCATTTTTTGTTCAGGTAGAGTGGGAGGGAGCGAGAGGAACAGAGAGAGAGAGAGAGAGAGAGAGAGAGAGAGAGAGAGAGAGAGAAACTCCATGTGAAAGGAACACATCGAGTGGCTGCCACCCGCACGACTGACCATGGCCGGGGACAAACTGCAACCAAGGTACATGCCCTTAGCGGGAACCGAATCCGGGTGTCTCTGGACCACAGGCCAACGCTCCAA